GAACACCGGCCGACGTACTGTACCAAACGTACTCGTCAATGGAAAGAGTATAGGCGGTGGTGACGACGTGACTGCACTTGATGAGAAGGACGAGCTTGCCTCGACGCTGAAGAATTTGGGTGGCAAATGGATACAAGAGGTCAATCGTAAGGACCAAAAGAAGCAGGCTGAGTGATGGCAACGTTCGCGACATGTATGATGAGGATATAGTACAGCATGGAGTTTGGTCGGGTGTTTGGGCAAATGGGTCGCTGGTTTCTTCTCTTCTCACGACTTCTCTAGGTATTTAATGCATGATATCTTCGCAATAGACAGGGAAGCAAGTCATTGCATCCAAATTTGGGAAGTGAACGACTTCGATTTCCTTTCTTAATGTCCTATGATGTTCAAGTGGCTCTTATAAAAATGCCCTGTTGATGCCTCAGGCGCCAGTTCGGCGACATTCATCGACAACGTAAGAAAGAGGTAGCACCAGAATTTCGAATGAAAACCAAATATACCCAAGCATCTATTATCAATGATGACAGTAGCTATCTAACACGCTCGTAATAATAATCAAAAGGTCACCTTAGCCTAAGCTAGATCGAGAGGTAGGATGTCCGCTGCCGGCAGAGCCCTAGAAAACGCGCTAAGCCGGAATAGTCGTTAAGCGACGCACAACCCGCCCGCCCTCGATTTTCGCTCCACCAAGACCTGGCCGCCTCCGTTGAATTTCGATCCTTTCGACGACCGACCGCACGAACGACATCGACAATTCTCCCCTCGGACATTCCACAGCCCACGCAGTCAAGATGCGGTACATTTACTCCGAGGAACGGCTGCCAATTCCCGAGAATGGTGAGAAAGCGATTCGTCCCTTGTTGTTTGAGGTCATTGGAAGAAAAGACGCCGGGGCAGAAAGGAAGACAAGTAGCGGTGCTTTTTTGGGTGTGCTGGGAAGTTGTCGCGCCAGTCTGTCTACAGGAACTGTTTGCAAGGAAGACCGCTGCTACGTCTCTGTCGAAGAGGAGGAGATGCGAGAATGACCGCTGTTTGGGATCAATGTCTTGAGAGGAATAAGGACTAACCTGGGTTTACGTCGTTTAGTGAAGGTTCACATTCGCTCGCGAGTTGTGACCGTTGAGGGACCTCGAGGTACGCTGAATACAATACCCAATGCTTGTCACGGTCGGGAAGTCTCTTCTCGAGTAGAGAGAGAAATTTCAGTCAAGACGAGTGGCCCGTCATTCGCTAAGGGTCAACGGCACTGACATGGAACTTTTTCACGCGAATTAGGCAAGCTCGTCAAGGACCTCTCCCACATTGCCGTCACCTTCGGCCGCCCCGAGAAGAATGTCATCTCCATCGAGATGCACCACGGTGTCCGCAAGGGCATCGCTACCCTCCGTACCGTTCGCACCCTTATCAACAACCTGATCATCGGTGTCACCCGGGGCTTCAAGTACAAGATGCGCTACGTCTACGCTCACTTTCCCATCAACGTCAACATCGAGAAGAACTCCGAGACTGGCCAGTATGAGGTTGAGATCAGGTACGCTGCGCATAACCCCAATTGAAGGAAGCTGGGGAAAGAGAACTAGCCGTCCTTCAACATCTTGAGAGGACCCTTTGGCCACGCGGGATACTGTTGCATTCAATTTCTGGTTGAGGAGCTGTGCTGACGGGCTTAATTTTGCGATTGTTAGAAACTTCTTGGGTGAGAAGATCGTTCGTCGTGTCACCGCCCAGCCCGGTGTCGAGGTCGCTATCTCCAGCAACGTCAAGGATGAGCTCCAGCTCACCGGTAACTCCCTGGAGGCCGTCTCCCAGAGCGCCGCCGACATCCAGCAGATCTGCAGAGTCCGTAACAAGGATATCCGGAAGGTATGAATGTCGGCCTGTTACGTTTGGCGTATGTCCTGATGCTGATTCGATATCTAGTTCCTTGACGGTCTGTACGTTTCGGAGAGGGGCAACATTGTTGAGGAATAGACGATTTATGGGTCCGTCCGCCGTGCTGGGTAGTTGAGGATGTCTGGAGAAATTCATTTCGCACTACTTGCATTAGGGAAAAAGCAAAGCGAAAATCAATGCAAAACTAAAACGGAATTCGAATGCCCCTTTACGTGTCCACGGATATGGCTTTTCTCATCTGGGGAACATAGTATGTAGGAAATATCCGGCTTCTACGAACAATCCAAGTTTCCTTTACTTCCAATCAACCCTGGGTTTACAATGTTGAATATTTATCTCGAAACGTGTGTCTCCGACTCGTTTCTGCCTACATCCGACCTATCGTAGCCGGGCCAGAAGTCGCAAGGACCCGCATTCGCTGCAGACGACTTGAGGTGAGAGCCCAGAAAAACCGCCAAGTGTAGCCAGATATATGAATCTCCTGAAATAGAACCTATAGAGGAACTAACGTGGGAGCTGTTAATTTCACTTGGGGCGGAGAGTTGCAATGGCAGCAATGCTCCGATAGATCCCATGTCTCTTTCATCTTCCATCCCTGGAACCTCCAACAGCAAGAACTACTTCTTGTTCTCTATCCATCTTCTACAGAATCTCAATCTTGGGGCTTCTTTTATTCTATCGGAATGATCGTTATCCCAATTTGACTGCCGCTAGAAGTAGAGCTGATGAGACACATCGTCCGCGTCATATGTCATACCCCATCAACTCTTAGCATGTGAAAGCAACAACACCCACATGCGCCGTCCGCCATCACGCTCACCGCACACTCGTTCGTAGTCTACCATAAAAGATGGAGACCTGGGTAGCTATTTCTGGCCTTTTCTCTGCGATCTTTAGCATGGTGCTCGACGTCGCGCTGTTCTGGAAACATGTATGCTCGTTTACCTCCGCGCAAAGATGTTCCAATGACCGTGCTGATCAAGGTCGCCCTGCAGAGGTTACTGGCATGGTGGTTCTCAAAATCGCCTAAAACTAGGCTACGACATCGTCTGGCCACAGCGCAGACATTTGAGGAGTGGGAGGAGGCTGCCTTCGAGCTGGACGAGCTCCGGAGTGCGGATTTATGGTACGTTGGTTTTAGGTCTCGCCCGCCTGGACTGATAAGGGTAGTAGCTAACGGTCGTGCAGGCGCCAGAACCCGACAAGTCGACATTACGACTACCGATTGATTCTGGGGCGAGTGGAAGCTTTGATGACTGCTCGTGAAGAGGAGGATATCCTGACATTGGCCAATCTTCTTCGCTCTGGACTTGTGCGCAATCTGGGCAACATCACCTCCCCGAAACTCTTCTTACATGCGTACGCTGGCACGAAACTCCTCATTGATGATTATATCACTCAAGTCGCACTTTCAATCCAGCACATAGCGGCTCTGCAGACCGCTCCAGTCCACGAGAGTGGGTTCACCTCGCAGGCCAAGCTGGAGCTCCTGCATGATACTCGCCAAGCTTTCGGTAGAACAACTCTGCTCCTGCAAGGTGGCTCGATATTTGGACTATGCCATCTTGGTGTGGTCAAGGCTCTGCATCTGCAGGGTCTTTTGCCCAGAATCATCACGGGAACGGGAACAGGAGCGCTGATTGCGGCTCTGGTTGGTATCCACTCAGAGGATGAATTATTGTCGTTCCTTGATAGTGATGGGATCGATTTGACGGCTTTTGATCGCCGACGAAGGGAGAAGCTTTCTGGCAAGCACGCACAGAAATCGCCTTACAGTAGCGAAGACAGTTGGCTTGGTACAATTTTCCGCCGGGTGAAGCGCTACATTGAAAAAGGCTACTTTCTCGACGCTGGAGTTCTGGAGGAATGTGTGCGGGCAAACCTGGGTGATCTGACCTTCGAGGAAGCATATGCCCGGTCGAAACGGATCTTGAACATTACAATAGCGACAACAGGCAAGAATGGCACCCCGAATCTGCTGAATTACCTGACCGCGCCGAATGTTGTAAGTACACTTCACACTTAGCTTTGAGCTTCCGTTTTGGAATTGGAATAGTCACCTTGTTTCGTGAACCTGGCTGATGCACTACAGTTGATCTGGTCGGCGGCAGTTGCCTCGAACGCATCCACGGGTTCCTTATACCAGCCTGTCACGATCTACTGCAAAGATGAAACAGGGTCGATAGTCCCCTGGCCACACGCTCAGGACGCCACCTTTCAGTCATGGCGCCACGTCCATTATAGCGACGGGGAATCACCGCTTTCCCGCATCGCGGAGTTATTCAACGTCAACCACTTCATCGTATCGCAAGCGCGGCCGTATCTCATTCCATTCCTGGGCTCGGACCTGAACATGTTAGACCGCCATCAGACAGGCCAGTGGAACATCACACGGCCGCTGATGCGCCTAGTCGTTGTGGAGCTCCGCCACCGACTTCGCCAACTGGACTACCTCGGTCTCCTGCCTCAAATCATCGGCCGACTCCTCATCGAAGAGACGATCCCTGGATCGAACCTCACGCTTGTTCCCGATCTATCTCTGAGCGACTTTACGAAGCTTCTACAGAACCCGAGCAAGGACAACCTGGCATACTGGATCTTGAAGGGCGAAAGGGGCGTATGGCCGGCCATCAGCGCGCTCAAGGTTCGCTGTGTGGTCGAGATTGAGCTCGACAAGGGGTATCAGCGCGTGCGGCGACGGCGGCCGAGCGAGAGCGTAGCGTTGCACCGGCGTGGTCCCAACGAAGGTGTACCCAGGAGACGAAGGGGGTATAGTATAGACAACGGACGGGATCTGAGCAGTTTGCTTGGGAGTGCGGATTATCAGCCGGATGTGCTGAATTCATGATAGGACAGGGATGGCAGATAAATACAAGATGACTGTCAGTCTATCGACCAGCAGGGCTGCGTATTACCCTACAAATAGAAGGAAGGCCTATTGGCGTGTACAGTACGCATGTGTAATTAAATATCTGGAATCCTATGGCGTCATAAGTGATTACAAATTACCAAGAAAGACAGACATGCGTAAGTGTTGATCCCGACTAGGAAATCCGGGTGATATCAATAGTTTCAAAGTCCATCAGACTCTGGGGGTCCTTTATATGCTACAGGGCGCGGACAACGAATGAGCAAACATCCCACAGATACGAGAGGCAGACAGCAAACTCACATTTCCGTGCATATACAGCATACCAGGCCGCCGCGATGGCCAGGAAGCCCACAAACACGACGGACGCATAATTCATCGAGACCCTCGTAACGGGCAGCACGGTAGGCATGCTGAACAGGACTAGTTCGAAGCCGATCCAGCACAGGGCGACGACGTTGACGATTGGACCGACGACGGGTCCACAGTTCCACAGGGCCTTGGAGACATCCGTGCGGCCGTGCCGGAGGCTGAGGAAGATGGGGATGGCGTAGGCGACGGCGAGGGCGATGACGCCGACGGAGACAAAGGCGGTAAAGGCGCTCGAGCTGCCGAGGTTGATGAGACCGAGAAGCATCTGGATGACGGTGAGTAGGAGGAGGGACCAGACGGGGACACCGAGGCGGGGGTCGACGCGGGCCCAGAGGCTGGCGAGCGGAATGGCATCGTCGCGGGCGAACGCCCAGGTGGAGCGCGAGGCGGCTACGGTGATACTGATGGAGCAGAAAAGCGTGATGACGAGGACGAGGGTGGTCAGCGCGAGGCCGCCGCCGGGGCTGCCCATGACCCGGTGGAAGATGTAGGGGAGGGCCTGGGCGGCGGGGGCCGTAAGAATGTCTTCCAGCGGGGGTAGAGTGAAACAGATGGGGAGGATGAAGAAGACGCCCGCCAGACCTCCGACGGGGACGCAAAGGCTGATGGCCCGGGGCACGTGGACTGCGGGATGGGCACACTCCTCTGCCATGGAGGAGACCATGCCGATGGCAGAGAACGTGTAGGCGGCGGGCAGAAGTCCGATGAAGAAGGTGAAGCCACCCCATCCAGAGAGACTCTGATCGTAGTGGCCCAAAGCGTAGGCCGCGCTGTGTCTGCCCGCGTCGGCCTTGACGGACAACGCAATTAGGCTGATGAGGATGGTGAGTGCGGTGAAGGTGGCACACGCAATGTCGACCTGGGGAAGGTAGCGGTTGCCAAACGTGCAGATGAAGAACGAGCCTATGCAGATGGCGTAGAAGATTAGCAGGAGCTGCCAGTCCGTAGCGGCCCAGTCCGGATGGTACATCGAGACGGTGGCCGAGACCAGCGATGCGAAGCCAAAGTTGACGGAAAGCGTGATGGTCCAGTTGCCGACCAGCCAGATCCAACCGTTGATGAAAGACAGCACCGTCTTGGAGCTCCTTGAAATCTGAAACGACCAATAGTAAGGGCCTGCAGAGGTCGGCCAGCGAGATGCGAGCTCGGCCAAGGATAACGCTACACATTCATCGAGAACACAGACCATGATCCAGCCGACGAAGATCGACAGAGGACCCCCGCCGTAGATGGCATTGAGTAGAGGACTCCCCTCTCCGTAGGGAATGGCAGCAATGGCCAGGGTCTGGAAGAGTAAAGTAAGAACGGAGCGGTTTCGACGGAGCTCCTGCTTGTACCCTAGACGGTCGAGTCCCTCGCCTTCCTGGATGCTGCCGGTCTCAGGATCAACATCTTCCTTGCTATGCGCACTGCTGGAGGGATCAGGTAGTTTGTAATCCGCTTCGACACCCATGCCGAAGGATGAATTCTACAATGAGCACTGCAGACGTATCAAAAGGTCCTTAAGAAAAAAGGCCGAGGTCCTGTTCTGCTAATCAAGTCAGCAAGGGACGTGTATTTATTACCCAGAGCTAGCCGGTTGCTCACAATTCCAGCATGCATGGATACTTCTTTCTGGGGTGGTAACACAACTGATAAGACGGATCGAATCATCACAATTCGAGCCAATATCCGGTGTTGAAAACCCAGCTCCCGCACATTCCAGATTCCAAGCGGGGAAGGGATATGGTATACCCATTGGGAACGTGAGACGTAACGGTGGTCGCAAAATAAGCACCTCGCGTATCAGAATATATGATTAGACGGGGTAAATCCCTGATAATAAAGTCTGATGAACCATGATACGGGATGCTGGACAACCCATGGAGCTTTCATGCATTGTCCCCCTTGCTTTGACACTGCTGGAGCTGTTCACACCTCTCAGCTCTGCAACTCCAACCCCTGTAAGCCAGCCTGTGTCAGGAAGCGTAGGGGAAAACCAAAGCAAAGCGATGGTCCCTCGGCATATGGCATGGTCGATTGATCGTCGCAGAGATAAGGGAGAGATATTCAGCAGTAGTAAGATAAGGCCTAGGACAGGTCGAGACTATCAGCAAGCATCTGGATACTGAATGCAGCCGTTGACTTAGCCCGATGCAGCAAGGGAATCCGTTTGATGATGTTTATTAGAGTTTCTTCAACGATCATCGCTTGCCTATTGGATGTTTTTGTTGTCAGTCAAGAGCCACATCGTGAGGGGTTTTCAGTATGTCCCCGCATCATCGAAAGAGCCATTCTGTGTGGGGAAATACCTTGACGCTGAGGAGAAGGAGAACAAACAAGATAGCATGACCGGTGACAGAAGCTTGACTAGGGTTTTTTTTTGGAAAGTGGTGCATGTTTGTGGAGGTGGATGATGAATGGATGGAGTAGTAGTGCTGGGGGAGGGGAGAAGTTGCTCTTCCTTAGTGACTAGTCGTCCTTCACCCTTCAGAGTGCAACTCCCCACATCATTGTAAACATCCCTTCTTGCTTGACAAAACCCCGGATGATGACATACACGTTGCTTAAGGCTATATCTCGGAGGGCTAAATAACTCAAAAGGGGTCCAGTTGTTCTACTATAGCCTTTGCCTCGATCATCCGATCGGAATGAACCCTCATCCCCTTCATAAGAGTCATATTCAAATGAATTTATTCGAAGGCCAACGCACAAGCCCTGGTGATTGCAGAGAGCATACCAAATATTCATTATGGAAAACTTAGATGGGGATATACATCGGCCAATGGATTATAACCAACAATATCAAAAAAAGGCGGCTCGAGCCGCTGCACCGCGGCGATGATTTGTAAAGAGACTAGTGGACAGCAGTATGAGGGCGAGCAGATCGCGAAGAGTGCGGCCGAAGGGAAGGAGCCCGCAAAGAATGCGCGTGGCGAGAAGTGGGCCGTGAAGGGATCTGTGCTGCAACATATGATAGGGGAGGGACTGCGCCAATCATGTCAGCCGTTATTCTCGAAGCAAACGGAAAGGAAGACGAAGGAGAGACTAGGCGAACTTACTGCTGAAACCGTAGCCCTCGGTGACTCCGTCGGTGTTTTGCGGGTCGATCTCGACTCGCACGGCCACGTCCAGTCCGCCATGCATGCGGCTATTGCTGGTGACGCCGTCTGCAGCTGAATGCGTCGAGCCTGCGTCCGCTTCACCCTTGTGCAGCGGCGAGTGGCCGTTCTTAGGGATGGGGAATGATTGGTCTCCGTTGGTGCCATCACCATTGGTGATGGGGGTGTCAACTTCGGTGATACAAGCATAATTACGCGACGGCATGGTCACCTTGTTCCACGAAGCACTCTTTTCCACGCCGCCGGGTTGTTTGTCGAAGAAAGCCATCAGCGTCTCGTCTGTATCCCCATCCATGTGATGGATCTTGTTCCTGCGAGCTAGGAGGTTTGCAACAGCCTTGGGGGGCGGCTTGTTGGTTATTGCACTGCTAATAACATTGACCATGTATCGAGGATCACTCTCGCTCGGGATTCCAAGCTTGGGGTTCGAGTAGAAGCGCCCAATAGCGGCGAGGTGCACGTCTCCGCCCAAGATGGTTACACGAATAGAATGCGTAGCGGCAAAGTGCTGAAGACGCTGAATGAAGATCCGTCGCTCTCGCTTGTGCTGGCGGGCAGTGTAATGGTCATCCAAGTCGTCCAGCAAGTCGACCTGGCCGTCAAACTTGTTGAACAAGCCGCCGGCGAGACCGAACCGCTTGTTCAGCAGGCGGATTGGCGCAATGACTGGAGAGCTCAAGATATTTTCAAGCCAGGCGAGACGGGGATATGCAATGGGGACACCGAGAAGGACCACAAGGTGTTTGATATCCCCATTGGCCTCTGCCACTTCACGCTCAAGACGAGAGAAGATAAGATCATAGGTTTCCGGGTAATTGACCTGGTGCCGGGTCCGTTCTGTCCGCGCATCAACGCCGATGAACGCAATCCGCTTGCCCAGGCGCATATACAGATTCCTGCTCTTCTCCTCTACATAAGGCCCATGGCTTTTCCCAACGATCCAACTATTGTCCTCGGGCTGATTTTCCAGAACAAACGTGTTCTCTGTCTGCCGAGGGTCTGCACCTGCTGTGCCGTTGATCGCTTGCATGGTCTGCGGGGCATCCGTGGTGAAGGTAGACTTTGGAGGCGCAAGGTGGTGTTGAAACAGGCAGTAATACTTGTACGCCACGCCTCCAATGCCGCGAAAGACGGCGCACCGCATAAAGTGATCCGTGTAAGAACCGAAGCCGTCGATGATGTCGTGGTCGTCCCAGATATTGATCTGAGGGATCTGTGCATTAGCGGTCTTGAACGGCTCGGTGGAGTACCATCTCATGTAGTTTGCATAGTAGTACTCGTCGCATTTGGCTCGCAGGGAGTTATCGAAATTGTGTGTCCGTCTTTTATGGGGATTCGCGATCGCCGTCCATCCCTTCAAGGGGCCATCCACCCGGACTCCGTCATTGTAGATTTGGTCACCGCCACCGATCATGACGTGGAAGGGCTTTTGCGCATGAACGCGAAGGACATCATTCCACAGATTGGGACCCAGCCATGCATCCATATCCGTGCCGACGGAGAAACCGTTGCAGGAGTGGAACAAGAGCCGCATGGACTGGTTCACTGAGGGCACCACAAAGTTCCAGGGTGTAATCGTTCGATTGGCTTCCGCATACTGGAAGCCGGGAATGTCATACTCCCAGCGCGCTTCATATGATTCCAGGGGCACGGTGATGGAGAAGCGCCAGAAGGCTTTCTGGGGATCCTCGTAAAGGCGTAAACCATCAATTGCGACGGGCTGACGGGCCGATAGATCGCCATTGACCGGAGCATTGCTACCGCCGACTGGACCACTTTGTCGCAGGAGCAGCTGGGGCTGTCTTTGGCCGGGTTTCGTGACAATCAAGACGCTTCCATGCCAGAGAGAGGAGGAGGGGGTGACGGTCATGTTCTTGTAGTTGATCAAAGGCCCGCAGACCACTTCAACCTGCGCATTGCTTTGGTATGCTTGGCCATCTGGAACGGCGTCTTGAATAATAACATTATACAGTCAGTCATGGCGACATGATTACTGTAAGAAAAATAGAGAGTTTGATCGTTAATGGGTGATGGGTAGCTCACCATAATCATGACTTGGCTGGCTGGAGTAGTGAGCCATGACGGGAGGACCGAGATGGGGGTATTAGATACGAGTTAAGTTGTTAGGGTCATACAATAATAATACAAGGGGAGTAAGGTAAGCCTCTCAGTGTGGCTGATGGGCAGGAGATGAAAAAAGCAAAAGGGTATCAAGTCAACAGATTAAAGTAGTTAGAATGCGGTTAGAAGAGGAGAAGAGAGAAAAATGAGACAAATGAGACAAATGATTGTAAGAAAGTGTAAGAGACGAGGAGTTTAATATTATTAAGGAGACCAGGGATTGATTCTCTGGCTCACGATGCACAAGCGAAGGGGCAACAGGGCTGATTAGTTGGTTCGGATCAACGAGTGTGTTTTGTCCTTACTAAGGAGAGAAGAAAGAGATAGAGAGATAGACAGTTAAGGTAGGTAATCTTGTGATCTTAAGGTATCCGAAGAAGGGATCAAGCCAGGAAGAAGAAATGCGGATGATCTGTAGACAGCTTGAAGCCTTGAAGGGAAAAATGGATGATGAGATGACGATAGGGCTGAGTACTAACGAAGACAAGCCAGCGACCGTCGGCCAGTCAATAATAATCATCCCATACTACGGAGTAATAATAATAATATTGTATCCGTGCAGACAGAATGGAAGTATCATCATCAGGCTGAACCGAACCACGAACCACAGCGTTTGCAGAGTGGTAGCTGCTAAGAATTTGATTTTCTTGGCATTATGTACGGTGATGTACCAAGGGAATCTCAGAGGCTAGTGTACCTACTCCGGAGATAGATAGAGTGGATACCGATGGAGTACTCAGTCGAGGGGTACAGTAAAACCTCGTTATAACGAGATATTCCAGACATTCCAAATTTCTCGTTATAACGAGGTTCTCGTTATATCAAGGATATATATAATTTAGCCTGTAAAATAGCTTCGAATATCTCGCTGAGTCTGTAGGCTCAGCTTTCGACCCCAAAGGATACGCTCATGCTTATCTAGCTCATATATAAGGCTAGGAATGCCCTCTGCCTGCTGCTCCTCATATAAACGAAGTGTTCTTAGTGCTTCCAATGCCTGATCAAGTGATATTTGTGGTAGAATTTCAAGCTCCTCCTCAGAATCATCATCAAGCTCTGGCCCATACTGAGCTAGAATCTGGCTCTCAATATCTTCAGGAGTATCCTGGACAGCTTCCTCTGCAGGGTTCAGAAAGGTATCAATATCCATTAGGTCCTGGATAGGCGTAGAGAGCTTAAGAAGAGAGAAAGCATTCTGTATATCATCCAGAACTGCTGGATCGACAGGCTC